GCGAGAGAAAAAATAAGGGGACGTACTTTCAGGACGACCCCTTGGCAGTTGTCGAGCCCGGTCGACCCATAGAACAGGCTAATAAAGAACTGGAACTTTTCGTGCGTGTATGAGAGTGGGGGGTGCACGTGCGTGTGCACGCATGTGTATGTGTCTGTGTGTGTGTCTGTGTGTGTGTCTGTGTGTGTGTCTGTGTGTGTGCATGTGAGTGCGTGCGCGTGTGCGTGCGTGCGGCACGAGGTTGATTGCGCTGCATGGCGCCCCGGAAACGTATCCTGTCGCGTCCAACTCGTCTCGGCTCGGGGGTGTGTGGTGTGTTCGGCGCCCCGGGGGGTGGGGGAGTGGGTGGGTAGGGCAGAGGCTTGAGGGGAGGGGATGGGGGAGACCAGCGTCGCGCGCGTATTTCCTTGAGGGGACGTGACTTCACGCCCCCTCCTCCCCGCCACCCCCTGCACCCGCGCTCAAACCGTCACCTCTCCCCACGCGTGCACGCGCTTCTTATCCAACAGGGCACGGACGCCGCACAAATACCCAGCCCCCATAAATAAACAAATAATAGAAATTCGGCGGGATCTTGCGCAAACCTGTGCCAGGCCGGTGGGACGAGCGCCCCTTGCAAAAAAAGGAGGGGGGGGGACACTGATTGCCAGCACCAGTGCGTGTTCAAATAATATAGAGGTGGAGAGAGAAAGAGAGAGAGAGAGAAGAAAGGTATTTGGGTCTACATTTAAATACGTGCGAGTTATTTCGTCTCCCGCTCGGTGAGCAACGAGAAGTATAGTCGTAACGCCTTCAAACCTCTCGCCCTCCATGTTACTCTTCACACGACGGTCAAACCACTTACATCATTTTCAGATGCCACTTTTCCAAATTCAGGTAAGTTAAAAGTTACCTATATTTACAATTTTCAGGCCTTACCTTTTGGCTGAATTTGTCTTCATTCGGGCAAAGATGCCTAAAAATGGTCAAATTCAGGTGACTTACCTGAACTTGGAAAACTGGAACCTGAAAATCAGGTAAGAGGTTTGGCCGTGTCAGGGACCGCGAAATACCCCACATTTTCGGAAGACGGTCCCTCTACAGCAGTTATACCGCGTGCTTAGAAGCGTGCCTGTGCACTCTCACTATATGACGTATAATGGTGGGCGAGCAAGTGAGTGAGTGAGAGTCTGGAAACTTCAGCGGAGCGCGTGTAACTGGTCGGACTGATGCACTCCTCGGGCTCACCTGTGTATACAAGCAGTGCGGATAAACTTTGTTTCCAGCAGGCCCGCCCCGGAGCCGCCGCCGCTGGAGCTGGCTGGAGTTATTCTCCCGGACAAGGCGATAAAGAAACGGCCGACGGCGTCTTATTTTAGAGCAAAGCAGCAGCAGAAGCAGCAGCAGAAGCAGCAGCAGTGATGGGGGCAGGGCTGGGCGGGAACCGGCAGGGCTGGGCGGGAACCGGCAGGGCAGGCGGCAGAATATGGCGAAAAAAGAAACTAGTGGGTTGGGACGGCGCTACGCTACGCACACACTGTCTTTGTGCGTGCGACGTGATATTGCACCGCGAGTCCACAGCAGAGGGGCGCTGCTGCACGCCGCCGCAGACAAAAAGAAAAGACGAGC